TATAAAGAGGTTTAGAGGGGAGGAAGTTCTTTAGTTTTCGCTCTTGCCTCGTGCACACTCACCAGCCAATATAAATGCAATGCCTTTGCATAAACACTCTAGTCTTAGCTCCAGCAAATGTCCAATAACATAAAATTTGAAAAATGACCTTACAGGAAAGTTTGTTGGTAGGAGAGTCACTATCTTAAGGTACCATGTCACTTCTGCGGTAGAGTCAAATGCAGAGACAAACGCTGCCACAAGAACTGCAGAATCATAAGGATCAACTGCTCAGTGACTCCTGCAGTTTAATACAAGTATTCCTCAGCTCATCCATCGTCATGATCTGCCTTGAAAGGACTCTCTGTATGGACTTTGCGTTTTTTGTGTTTCCTGTTTTATTTTTGAAATACTTAACTTATGTGTCCACTGCTTGTGTTACTTCCTGTCTTTGTCCAGTTTTCAAGCTATTGTGATTGCCTGCCCCCACCCTGATGTGTTACACTTGGTCTTTGTTACACTGTCCTTTTGTGTGTATTTAGCATAGACTGACAGAAAGACGAACATAGTCTCTGTGATGTCACCCACAGGTTTCTGAAGAGCAGTTGTTTGAAGTTCAGAGTGAGCTGCGCAGCGGTCACCATCTTGGCAGTGTCTGACTCCGCCCCTAACTCCAACTAGTCTAAAAAATGAACAAAGAGGTGGGGCCTGTGAAGACGAGACTTAGGTGGATGACAGTTTGTGGCAAACATACACTCACCCACCTGTCATTCCAAAGTGACCACGCCTCAATTCTGCATAACTTAAGCCTTAATAAAAATGTAAACACGTGAAATTATTTAAAAAAATCACTCCTGTGCAGTTGTCATGAAGGAGGGAAATTAGCTATAGAGAACCAAAACTGTTTTTGTACCAGAAGTGTAAAAATGTTCATTTCTGCTGTAAAGTTGGGCATTTTAACATGGGAGTCTATGGAGGATTGACTCGCTTTCGGAGCCAGCCTCAGTGGCCATTAAAGGAACTGCAGTTTTCAGCACTTCATTTTTCAGCCCTGGAGGTTGCTGCTTGGTTTTTAGTTTCTTTGCTCCCAGTTTTCTTTGTCAGTTCTTCTGCTTTCCTCCTGCTGAGTTTCCTCTAAAGATTCCTTGTGATTGTTCCTCAGCTTTATCTATCGTTTAGATGACTTTGTTTGGATTTTCTAAGTTTTATGTTCCTGCTCTTCTTCATAGTTTTTTCTTCACATTCTGTAAGTTTCTGGACTTTTGTGTTTATTAAAACTCCTTCTTTGCATTTACTTGCTTGTCTTGTCTGTGTTTGGGTCCAGTTACCGTTGACGCCTGACATCCATAGAGTCTGGTATGATGCTTTAAGTATGGCAAGAAAACAAAACAAGGGCCTCTAGAATCATATTTTCATGACTTGACGCTGCTTTCTATGGATGCATTGTATGGGTTCATTCTAAAAGATGGAGTGGAGTGGAGTTTTTTCTGTTGGATGGTCAGATCTGTCCTGGTCGAACCCACCAACAGCAACAGCTTTCCCAAATTTCAGTATCAATCCTCCATTTCTTTTTAAATGCTTTCGGTTTTTTTTCACATTTCCATGAAAAGCAGTTGTAGGATCTTTGCAGTTATGAACCTGTTTCATGTAGCACACATTAACAAACAGAAATGGAAGCACATGGTTTCTTCCTCTCCAGTCACTGCATTTGTTAGACTCCCAGTAATGAGTACTGATGCTTTGTGCTAAATGAATAGTTTAAACGAAATTGGGAAATTTTTTCTAACTGGTTCCACTGTGTCTAACTCCATATTTATCTTACCCCTTTTCTGATCTGGATTATGAGAACACCTGTTACTGATTCAGTTCACTGATGCAATATGTGAATGTAAAGTGGTTCAGTTTGTGTGAAGTGATGAGGAGTGGAGTGATGTAACAAAGTCAGATGAGAGTGATAAACAGCAGTTTCCTTTTCTGTGAGAAGAGCAAGTCCTCTGGTGTTTTTTGGTCATGGCTGAAGTCTTCCTGTTTCTTTGTCTGTGTTTTAACCTTTATTTAAAGGTAATTAAAAGCTAATTATTTACAATGCCAAAGGAGAGTTTAATTTGTCTAAACAACAGGTTAGTTCTTCACACTGTTCTTTCTTATATTTTCTGACTCCTCCTCATCGCACACCAAGCATGCTTTTTTTCCTCTCAGACAAGAGCAGGAAACTGAAGAACGAACAGAGGCTTTAACGAGAAACAGAAAGAATAGATTTATTTTTTTTGTCATTGAGTCCTTGCCACCCACTACACACATGCACAAAAACCATAACAGTAGATGAATATGATAAAGCCTGAGCTCCTCTCTGAGCTGCTGTTCCAGTGGTTCCTGAGTCTATCTGGTGGCAGCGTACACAACATGGGCTCCAGCTCTCTCTGTGATGCAGGCCTGCGGTTTCTTTTTGGTTTGGCTGGAAACTTAGAGTTGTGTAGTTCAGGTCATCTGAGCCCAAATTCTGTAAAAATATTGAGAGTCACGTAATGTATTACACACAGTGGAACTTTCATTTCTGCTAAAAGTCATTGAAACTGGTGGATTTGTATGGGGTTCTATTTGTGCCAAAACCTCTGGATGACACGTACAACAACAGAGTCAAACGACAGAGAGTGTAACATGATGACAAAAAATTTAGTTCAAAGTTGAACAGACAGACAAATGTGTTGTCACATGTTCAGTTCAAACAGTTTTGCATGTGGACATAGTTTTGGCTAAAATGGATCCCTATAAAGATTTGTGGGTTGAACTAAAAACAGAATCATTTAGAACATTTAAAAGTCCTATCATAGTAATAGCTAAAATCTAATTTAAAGAACATCTCTCCTGGTGAGCTCAGTGGTTCAAACAGTCTTTGTAGCGACACAATTAAATGCAACAATGAGGAGCTTCACCGTGGTAACAGTGTCATTTCTCTGCTGCATGAGTAAGTACTTCAACTGTTTGAAATAATGTAACTGATGTAACCAGTATAACACCAGAGTTTAAACTTGCATATTAGAGCTGAGTTAATTGTTGCTGTCCCCTTATCACAGTAACTGTTACATTATACACTCAGAGGTAAAACTCTTGTTGTGTCTGCTGTTTGTTTCAGGCTGGATCTCTGTCTCAGTGTCCCAGTCTCAGACTGTGGAGGTCCAGTCTGGTGAAGACATCACACTGGTGATCTCCAACATTTCCAGTCATGGCACTCTGACAGAGTGGTTCAGACTGTTCAACAGAACCAAGGTCAGCTGTATCGCCTCTATGTACAGGTCTGATCACGAAGCTTCATTCTGTGATGGATTTCAAAATAGATTTGAAATGAGCTCCAACATCTCCAATGTCTTTCTGAAGATCAAGAGAGTGGATGTATCTGACTCTGGACTGTATTTCTGTGGATTTTACGTAGGGAAACACACAGTCATCACCGATACAATACATTTAAATGTTCAAGGTAAGATTGTATTCAAGTCAGACATGTCATTTTCTGATTGTATTTACACCACTTTCTTTCTAAAGATCAAGAAAGTGGATATGTTTGACTCTGGACTGTATTTCTGTGGATTTTACAAAGACGCACACACAGTCATCACCGATACAATACATTTAAATGTTCACGGTAAGATTGTATTTAAGTCTAACCTCTTTCAGAGATGGTAATTTCTCATCATATTTACAGTACACTGTGTCTCAAATTTATTTACAACACAAAGACAAACTAAAAACAAATACATGTCAAATAATTGAATCTAGCTTTTTCACAGGTGATAATGAATCTGATTATGAAGAGGATTGTAACTCTGAAGGTAAGGTTCCTGTCTCTCTGTTACCATGGGGTGTATCATTTCAATGTTAACCATGTCTAAATCCACCAGAGCTGAATCTATCATCTTTATTGTAGAAGTGCCTGGTGGAATGACAAACCTGATGAGTGTGGTGCTGGGGGGTCTGACTGTTTTCCTCACTATAGTGGTCATTGTTCTGGCTGTTAAAATCAGGAAACTTCAGAAAGGTACAGTTGATATATAATTTGTTGTGAATTGTTTCAACATGATGGAAACCTCCAAATTAAAGTATACGATCAATAATAATTAACTAATCAGACTTTTGTCTTTTGCCACGTAGATGTGAATGAAGAACCACAGACAGAAAGAAACAAGGTAAAACAGTTTTTACTCATATAAACCAGGGTTTCTGTCAGATACGTTGTTGAGTCCAGTTACACTGACAGGACCAGTAAAACCTTTATAGATTATTTGAGCGATGCCACGAACCACTGTGTGGGCTTGATACACCCGATTGTCATGTGACAGTGACTATTCTTGCTCTAACAACATTATTGCCTTTCATCAACCCAAGGCTGGTGGGACAACGAGGCATTTTAAACAGATCTAACCAGATGTCTCTGGTGAAATTTTCAATCATTTTATCTAGGTTTCCATACGAGCCTCCAAAACATCACTGATGCTTTGGCCTCACAACTGAGGCCCAGTGAGATTATTATGCACTGCCTAAAAACCTGTAAACTATAGGTTATGGTCTAAGAGGTGAATTTAAACGGACGACTGGTGTGTTAATGATTTTTGTCACATAGTCCTGCAAGTGGGAACAAACAGCAAGTATAGGCAAGCAGGAAGTCATTGTTATCTTCTTTAACCTCAAATAATATTAGCCTTGTTAATTCCTATAAGATCTAACATTGGTTTAGGTCATTAAGATGAGTTTTATCATTTTGAACTGTGTAATAGTTCCATTAAAAGTCTTAAATTAGATTTTAGCTATACTATGACTAGGACTTTAAATGTTCTAAATGATTCTGTTTTAGTTCAACCCACAAATCTATAGGGATCCATTTTAGCCAAAACTATGTCCACATGCAAACTGTTGACTGAACATGTGACAACACATTTGTCTGTCTGTTCAACTTTGAACTAAATTTTTTGTCATCATGTTACACTCTCTGTCGTTTGACTCTGTTGTTGTACGTGTCATCCAGAGGTTTTGGCACAAATAGAACCCCATACAAATCCACCAGTTTCAATGACTTTTAGCAGAAATGAAAGTTCCACTGTGTGTAATACATTACGTGACTCTCAATATTTTTACAGAATTTGGGCTCAGATGACCTGAACTACACAACTCTAAGTTTCCAGACCAAACCAAAAAGAAACCGCAGGCCTGCATCACAGAGAGAGCTGGAGACCAATGTTGTGTACGCTGCCACCAGATAGACTCAGGGAACCACTGGAACAGCAGCTCAGAGAGGAGCTCAGGCTTTATCATATTCATCTACTGTTATCAGAGAGGAGCTCAGGCTTTATCATATTCATCTACTGTTATGGTTTTGTGCATGTGTGTAGTGGGTGGAAGGACTCAATGCCAAGAAATAAACGTTACTTTCTGTTTCTCTGTCAAAGTCTGTGTCGTTCTTCAGTTTTCTGCCTCTTGCCTCTTGAGAGCAAAAAAAGATCATGTTTGATGTGTGATGGAGGAGGAGTCAGAAAGGACACTGATGACTGTCAAACTTACTTATAGGGAGGATGAAATGGTCTGTTGGGGGAGGAGTGAGTGAGATACACATCACTTGTTTGACAGGAAGAGATAGCACAGTGTGGTCTGAGGTCAGCTACGCTGAAAGTCACGAGGGCCTCTAAAGGCAAAGCTCTGAAGGAAAGTATAAAAGGAAGCTGTGAAAACGAACTTGTTGTTTCGGACAAACCTTCACACACTACATCAACGTCTGCTTTCAATATTGAATAAAGACGTCTGATGTAACGGCCTCATTTCTGCCACAGGACACAGCTCTCCATTTTGAACATACTCTATCCTATCAGGTCTGATGGTGAGAGGTGTTCATGAAATACTCTTACAGTCTACAGCCGTGCTCGTGACTCTGTGACAGTGATGGTTTGAGCTAAGTGCTAACATTGTGGGTCATAAAAATTCATAGTTATCCATTCAATAGCTGCTGAGACATGACATTGGAAACCATGAAACTCAAGCTCATGTTGGTGCTGCAGGAAAAAGATTCCTCCTCTGGGGACCATGAATGTTTGTGAAAAACTAATAGCCGTGAGTCTCTCCGATGTTTCCTCCTCTAACCATCTTGATACTATCTGCTCTTTCACCTGTCCACCTGGAGCCAGCAGGCGGTGGGCGGGGCACAAGACCTGATCTAGAATTTCTCAACAAGGAAGTAAACGTATATGAGCTTACAGCCCCAATTTTCTTTTCTTTTTTTTCACAAATTCATGTTAAACAAAACAGCATTTTTACATGGTTTAAAACATGCCTGGAAAACTTTGGAGATTGATACAGAAAAGTGACAAAACGTGTTGGTTGGTGTAGTATCAACAAGAAAGCTCCATGAAGCTGTTGGATGTTTTATAACAACAGTATCAAGGATGTAGAATGAATGAATTTCCAACATAATAATATTTCTATTATATGACAGCTGGTACTTGGTTGACTGAACACCTTTAGAGTGAACCTAATGCATCCATAGAAAGCAGCATCAGTGATGATAATATGATGCTAAAGCACCCTTGGTTTTTTTCTTCTCATATTACATAAGTTATACCAGACTCTTATTACTAGATGATGATATTTGTATAAAACTGTAGGAGTCACTGAGCAGTTGATTCTTATGATTCTGCAGATATGATAAAACGATGACTCTCCTAGCAACAAACTGTTACGTTTTTGGCTGAACTGAAGTTGGACCCCAGAGCAGAGACAGAACACAAAATACACCAGCAGTAACTGTGCAAAGGAGTTTATTGGGGAGAGGGCTCCGAGGGCTCCGGGGAATCCAGGTGTCTGGTGAGAACACGAAGCACGGTTAACGGAGGACACTGGAGGCCTGAAGCAGGTGAGGAAACACACTCCGGAACACGAGGGACAGCTGGAGACCAAAGGGAGGTGGACGGTGCGGTGCGGCCACATTGGAGTGTGGCAGGTTCAGGAGCCCATGGATCTGGAAGTCCTGTGGAGTCACAGGAAACACAATGAGTCAGTTTGGACAAAAACACCAGGAGGTCACTGAATAACAAGATGACTCTGTAGTCACTTAAACTAATCAGAGCGGCCGAGAGAGCTGCCACCACCGTGAGGAGCGGAACAATCTGCCGACGAATGGATGGATGACCGGGGTAGATATACTGCAGGTGATGAGTGATAGATTGCAGGTGTGGTGGTGAGCTGCTGTCACCTGATGGCAAGGGAAGCACACAGACACATATATACACAGGAGGGGAGACAAACAGGATGAGGGGACTGTGACACAAACTTTTTCAGTGAGATCCTTTTTTAAAGTTTACATTATTTGATGGAGCTAAGATAGAGTGTATATGCGAGACATTGGATTATATTGGCTGGTGAGTGTGACGAGCAAGATGAAAAACAAAAGACACTCCGCCCATCTAAACCTCTTTATATGAGCTCAGTGGTTCAAATGATCTTTGTACTGTGACTGGATTAAACGCAATAATGAGGAGCTTCACCGTGGTAACAGCTTCATTTCTCTGCTGCATCAGTAAGTACTTTATGATGAACTCATTAAATTTCAGCAAAAACTGATGTTTGCCAGTAAACTACCACAATCTAAATTTGTTACTTAGAGCTGAATGAATTGTTTCTCCTTATCACAGTAACTGTTACATTATACACTCAGAGATAAACTCTTGTTGTGTCTGCTTGTTTGTTTCAGGCTGGATCTCTGTCTCAGTGTCCCAGTCTCAGACTGTGGACGTCCAGTCTGGTGAAGACGTCACACTGCAGTGCTCCAACATTTCCAGAAGTCCAACTCAGATGGAGTGGTTCAGACTGGTCAACAGAACCAAAGCCAGCTGTATCTCCTCTATGTACAAAGCTGAAAATGAAGCTTCATTCTGTGATGGATTTCAAAATAGATTTGAAATGAGCTCCAACATCTCCAATGTCTTTCTGAAGATCAAGAGAGTGGATTTATCTGACTCTGGACTGTATTTCTGTGGATTTTACAAAGACACACACACAGTCATCACCGATACAATACATTTATATGTTCAAGGTAAGATTGTATTTAAGTCTAACCTCTTTCAGATTTTATTTTCTCATCATATTTACAGTACACTGTGTCTCAAATTTATTTACAACACAAAGACAAACTAAAAACAAATACATGTCAAATAATTGAATCTAGCTTTTTCACAGGTGATAATGAATCTGATTATGAAGAGGATTGTAACTCTGAAGGTAAGGTTCCTTTCTCTCTGTTACCATGGGGTGTATCATTTCAATGTTAACCATGTCTAAATCCTCCAGAGCTGAATCTATCATCTTTATTGTAGAAGTGCCTGGTGGAATGACAAACCTGATGAGTGTGGTGCTGGGGGGTCTGACTGTTTTCCTCACTATAGTGGTCATTGTTCTGGCTGTTAAACTTCGGACAGGTAAAGATAATATATCATTTGTTACACATCTTGTTGTATGTTTTGTGAAGTTGTGACAATCACGTCCACGGCATTGTAACTAGTCAGCGATAATAAACTAATCAGACTTTTTGTCTTTTGTCATGTAGCAGCAAATGAAGAACCGCGTCCTGGAAGAAACAAGGTGAAGAATCTTTTTATAAAATAACCCTCGCTAAAATATGATGAACCATAATCATATGTGTTTTGTTTCAGCATGTTTAACTGCTGAGACAAAACGACTAAAACACTATTTGCTAAGATGTCCTTAAAAATATATTTTTTCTTCTAGGAAGCATGGGCCTTACAGATTCTGTGCTGGTTTCTGAAAAACAGTGCATGACTCTAAATACTCTGTTTTACAGAATCTGGGCTCTGAAGACCTGAAATCTGCAGCAGCTCTGAGGCTCCTTTCAAAGACAATGAGAAACAGGAGACCTGCATCTGAGAGAGAAGTGGAAACTCATGTTGTCTATGATGCCACCAGATAGACTCAGGACGCAACTGGAACTCAGTGGCGTGTGGTGAAACCACCATCTCAATGCGTAATTCAGCTGTCTACTACATGCATGAGAGAAACCTTTCCTGTCTCATGATTTTGTGCTGCTGTCTTTCCTGTGCTGAAAGTCTCTCTTCTGCCTCTTGCTGCACTCTGCCTGGACATATTCACCTTCCTGCTGAAGAAATATTAGAATTACTCCTTTGAACTGACAGTAAATACATGAAATGTGCAGTATAAAGAAAAAAAATATCACTTGTGTGGTAATCCTCAAACTATTTACTATTAACTGTCAATGACATACTTGAGTGTCAGTGCAAAATCTTGTATTTTTCTGCCTCAATATGCCGTCTCAAACTTCTCGAACTTAAGTCACAGTAGTCGCACGTCTGAGAAGGCTGGAAGCTGAGTCAAGGGCAACTTGACTAGCACACTTGTCTGTAGCTAGCTATAGCTAGTCGGCCAATTATCCTCATTGCGCAAAGGTCCAAAAAAGCTGCACCCATCTATGCTCGACAAGCCCCAGCCTTTGTCAACAGGACATGGCCACACCCACAAAAATTACAGAAATGAGAGGCGCAACGGGCGGAAGTTACCCTAGCTTCCAGAGACAATAGCATACTGAGGCCACAAGAAGGCAGAAAATTACAAGATGAATACAAAAAGGCCAAATCTGATTCTTTCTGTGACAGTGTTGATATTATTTCCACTTCCAATATTGACTGATTGTGATTTTAGCCTTAACTGGTCAAGCACTGCTAGCCTTGTTTCCCCCTGACGGCACACCACTGCTGAACATGCAACCTTGAGTATTACTGATGTTTTGTCTTTTTTATCTGCTATTTTGTCATTCTGTGTGGGTGGTGGCAAAAAGATTTTTTTGTAATGAAGTCCCTATATAAATTGAAAGTTTGCCCCTTTTGGCTAATGGTCAACGTCTCTGTCTTATTGTCTGCATCCAATTTTCATCTGAGAGGAACAAGGATATATTTTATGTTTTTTCTGAGGAGGAGCCACTGAGGATGACTGTCAAACTTACTCATAGAGAGAGTCAAATGATCTGTGGGGAGGGGGGGGGCTCTCAAGAGGAAGTGACAGCACAGTGTGATCTGAGCTCTTTTTCTTGACTAAATAATATCAGCCTCTGTACCTGTGAAGAAAATAAATGACAATGCAAAAACATTGTCTGTATGAGTCAAAAATAAATTCCACCACAGGAAGGCTTCAGCCATGACCACAAACATCACATGATTTGCAGCTTTTAAAGTGCTATGCTATATACATCTCTGCTATACACAAACTTGCCTAACTCCTTTAGCTTCACGGGCTACATAAACACCTGCATTCACACTTGAAGATGAACATACCCATCCACAGATTCAGGTCACACTCTCAATCTATCAGGTTTCTAATGCTGGTCTCTGAATTCATTTGTAGTCCAGATGACGGGTGAAAAAAATTATGTGTTATGCTGAAAACACCCACACCAACTGCCTCTCTGTCCTGGTAGCTTTGGTGTAATGAATGTCATGAATTTCCACTATGTTATAAATAAAGTATCTATCTATCTATCTATCTATCTATCTATCTATCTATCTATCTATCTATCTATCTAACTATCAACAATTTGATCAAATACACAAACAGCAGGTAATGGGAGATAGTTAAGATAGTTAATCATCCCTTTGTGGCAATAGATACAAAGTGAAGAACAGTAGTCAGTCGGGTATAACTTCATAGTTGCTTATTTTGTCTTTGATTGTAATCTTAGGAGGAAACATAACACGTTCAAGGTTTGATGGAGGAGGAGTCAGAACAGGACACTGATGTCTCTGTGAGGAGGGAGGGGTGAGGTACACATCACTTGTTTGAAAGCAAAGCACAGTTATGGTCTGAGGACAACTGAGATAAAAAAATAAAAATTAAAAAAAAAGATTCACAGTCACACTACAGTCAAACCTTGTTTGATAAAATCTGATATGAAGCGATGAATACTAGGTTAGTTTCCTATGTAACACAAGCAATAGATTGGGCCTCTACTTTAGGGAGAGTGTGCAGGGAGGGAGGAGTTGTGAGGTACATGCCACGTCTTTGACAGTGACAGCACACTAAGTCTTCACACTATACAACGTGAAATATAATGGAAACAACATGGTCAATACAAATCTCACTTTGTAATAGTTCTAATTGTTTTTCAGTTATGTGACATCACAATTTCCCTGTTTTTCCCTTGTTGGCATCGTAAAACACATGAGAAGATACATAGGTGAGATTGGATCTAGTTAAGAAAACTGACAAAAAAAAAAGAAATTTTTGATGAAAAAGGATTCTTTCAACACCAAAAAACGAACAAACATTATACCCTTTGTTGTGTGTGGTTGTGATGCAGAGAGCTGAAGGCCTGTCTTCCTGTGGTTGATACTTCACTTTTAGCACCATTTATCACCACAATGGAAAATAACAAGCAGGGCATCAATGCTTATGCATCCCCACTACTGCATGCGAGTATGCATATCAGCTGTGCTCAGACCACACTGTGCTATCTCTTCCTGTCACACAAGTCGTGTGACCCGCTTACTCACACCTCCACTGCTGCACATCTTAATTTAACTCTCAGTATAGAAGACTCTGAATGACCGTCAGTCGTCTTTACTGGCTCCGCCTCCATCACACACCAATCACAAGCTGGACTAAGTCTGTCAGACAGAAGACAATAAAAAAAACTGATGAGAATTAAAACTCAGAACACAACAAATTACTGCTGTTTGGCAGGAAGCAAGAACAAAAGTAAATGTTTGAACAAAGGGATGGCCACAAATATGCCTTTGACACGTAACTCTTCCAATGCACAAGCTGCACAAAGTGACAAAGCATCACTTCCTCTCTGAGCTGCAGCTCCAGAATTTTCCTGACTTTCTCTGGTGGCAGCCTATAAAACATCTTATGCAGGCCTGCAGTTTCTTTTTGGTTTGGCCTGTAAACTTAGAGCTGTGTAATTTAGGTCATCAGAGGCTGGATTTTGCTTTTGTGTATTGTGTTCTTCATTATGAGCTATATGACAGAGACTAATACCTGGTTAACTCATTAACTAATTCAACATCATTGTCCTTTAACGTCACTGTTAATTGCAATTTGGCACAAAGGAAGTTTGGGATTATTCCATCATATTGACACAAATTTAAGTGAACAAAACCAAAGATAGTACCAGCAGCTCTCAAAAGTACCTGTCTGAAGTTTCCTGTATTTAACAGCCAGGCCAATGATGACCATGAGGAATACTGTCACAACAGCAATGATCACAGCCGTCAGCTTTGTTATTCCATCAGGCTCTTCTGCAAGAAAGAGCCAACAGTTTAACTCCCTCATTAAGTAACATTAGAGAACTGAAGAGAAACCATCCAGATGTTTTACATCAACAGTCAATTAAAGATATGTTAAGGAGAATCTTACCTGTGCATTTGACATCGAGGACATAAAGAGATGCACATTGCCTTTGATTAAATATGAGAATAATTTAAATTGAATTTATTTTCATGAATAAATTATGAGGGTGAAAATATATTGATAATATAGAGAAATAGATAAATCAGATTAATAACCACCAGAGTCAGATATTTCACTTGTTTAATTATGAGGAAGATTGTGGACATGTTCGATCTCATTTCATATTTGCCATTTTAAAATTCATCACAGAATAAAACATTGCCATCAGAATCATACATAGAGGAGATACAGCTGCTTTTGCTTTTGTTAATATAAATATTAAGACCAGAATATGTAAGTTGGATAACTGGAAATGTTGGCACCAGGATGTACCTGGACCAAAGTGGACATATAAATGTCTTCTGAGCCAAATTGCAAAAGCTTAAAGAGTGATTTATGACCTTTATAATGCAACAAAGATGTATTTTTTAAGCCTGTAATAGTTGAAAATTCAATCTCAAGTTACACTAAAAGTATAAAATACATCAAATCATGAATAATATAAAAAGGCATAAAAAGACATAGTAATCATAGGCATAAAAAAGTCATAGTATAGGAAGACATAAACATGTCAAAAAATGTCATACTATAGTAAGGCATAAGAACATGCAAACTCCACATAGAGCTGCCCTTCCCGGGGTTTGAACCCATAACCTTCTCTTGCAGGGGCAACAAAGCTATCCATTATACTACCATATCACAAAGTTGTTGTATAGTAAGGCATAAAAACATCAAAACACGTCATAGTATAGTAAGAAATAGTCACCACTCTTTGGATTGCGGAAAAAATGCGGAGTACCCGGACGAAATCCATGCAGGCTAAGGGAAAACATGTATACTTTCATTGAATGATGGGTTTGAACCCAAAACCGCCTCTTAGAGGGGCAACAGTGCCAACCATTATACTACCGTGCCACCCCATCACAAAGTCGTAGTATAGAAAAGTATGAAAATGTTATGGTATAGTAAGACATAAAATGTGTAAAAGCAAAGTACATAAAAACATCAAAAAACATCACAATAGAGTAAGTCATAAAGACTTCAAAAAATGTCATAGTGTAGTAAGGCATAAAAACGTCAAAAAACGTCAAGGTATAGTAAGGCATAAAGCATCATAGTATAGTAGGGCATGAAAAACATCAAAGTAAGCATCATACTATACTAAGGCATAAAAAATGCAAACTCCCGGGGTACGAATCGATAAGCTTGTCTTAGAGGGGCAACGATGCTACCCATTAGACTACCGTGCCACCACATCACAGACATAGTGTAGTAAGGCATAAAAACGTCAAAACACTTCATAGTATAGTAAGAAATAGTCACCACTTAAACATCAAAAAACTTCATAGTATAGTAAGGCATAAAAACTTTAAAAAAAAAAACATCACAGTATAGGCATAAAAAGTCATAGCATAGTAAGGCATAAAACATCAAAAAGCAAAATACTATACTAAGACATAAAAACATAAAAAAACATCACAGTATAGTAAGTCATAAAATCTTCAAAAT